CCCCCCCCCCCTCAGGCCTCCTCCTCTCCTCACAGAGATAAAGGTCTGATAATTACAATATGGTGGCTGGTTGATGGAGCCCCCCCTCAGCAGCTGCTAGTCGCCGTCTTCCTGTCAGACGTGAGGATTGCTGCAGCAGTGTGACGCCATCAGCACGCCGCGGTTATTTTTCACAGTGTACGCCTGTCTAACGCCGCTTTCTAAACTTCGCTCTGCCACTGATTCCAGCTCATCTAATCCTAATCTAGCTCCCATAATCCCACCTTCTTTCCACCATTGATGCAGATTAAGATCCTGAACAACCAGATTCTCCTCCTCAAACCAGAACCTCCAGTTCTCTCCCAGTAAACGTTGCCGTGGTTCCAGTTTAAGGAGCGATCCAGTGGTGTTAAACCAGATGTGTTGGATTCACTATGGAGGTTCACTATCGTCTTTCATTGTGAGCAAAGTGCTTCTCTGCACTCGTGTCTTTACCTGACATGGAAAAGTGAGCTGCACACCGACACCGCGTGGAAAAATATATCCAAGGATTATGTTCATCTTTTGTTGTTTTTCTATAAAATCCAGACCTCCTGAAGGAAAGTGAAGCTGGTGGGTTTGTGTTCACCAGTTTCACCAGATCATCTGAAAAAGTGGAAATAAACGGCCTGCTGGGAAAGCACCATGAGGTCTGCATCAGCGTCATCAGCGCAGAAAGAAACCATCAGATTCACATCAAACCTGCTGACAGAAGATAAAACCTGCAGCTTCAATTCATTCCTCTTTAAATCTGAATTTGGATCCTTTAAATGAAATTAGAGGCTGTTCCTCTAAGATCAAAGGATCTACCGGCTGCTGTTTGGGTCAAATTCAGTCAGAACTTATTGAGCTTAATTTGCTTTATTAGTTCAGTTTTGATTTTTATTTCCAAAGTTCATTAACTGTGTTCTAAATGTAAACACTTTATACCGACTCCTAACACTTCAGACAGAAATATAACGGAGATGCAACATGTTAGCACTAGCATGTTAGCCATTAGCATGTTTAGCATTAGCATTAGGATATCAGCTGTTTTAAAGGTAATGTTTTTGAAAATAGTAGCGATAGTTGATGAGGCATTTCGACACTTTTCCAAACTATCGATGCTGCGTTGATACTGGCTCACTCAATACTGACACCTGCTGGACGTTTAAAGACACTACAGGCAGCCCATCTGACTTTATCACCTCGTAATACTTTAATTTAAGCCGTTCAGTGTTATATTGTATTATTTAATATCCTTTTTTATATGAAAATATTTTGATATTTTTAGATGACATCCATAAAAAAACGTAAACATTTAGATGAACGTGTGAATGAGGACGATTGTGGACTAGCATTAAAAAAAAGAAAAAGATTTACTTATTAGGGCCAGGCTAGAGATTTTCTTTTTCTATTACGAGAATAAAGTCGATAAATTACGATAATAAACATTAGGAGAATAAAGTCATACAATTACGATAATAAAGTCATAATATTATGAGAATAAAGTCGCAATATTACGAGAATAAAGTCGATAAATTACTAGAATAAAGTCGATAAATTACGAGAATAAAGTCGATAAATTACGATAATAAAGTCATAATATTATGTGAATAAAGTCGGAATATTACAAGAATAAAGTCGTAACATTAGGAGAATAAAGTCGTAACATTAGGAGAATAAAGTCGTAACATTAGGAGAATAAAGTCGTATTTTATTCCAAC